CCACTTCTCTCCGGGCATGTCTTATCACCTCTACTTATCCTCTCCCTCGCCTCCCCTTCTTCATCCTCTCCCACCCCATCTTTCCTCTCTTCCATCACTAGCCTCATGTAAAATCTTTTTCCCAGTCATTCTCTCTATATCTACCGTTCTAGTCCCTCAGATCATCTTCCAGGCTCCTCTCAATACGAGTTAACATCAACTTACCATCGGTACTTCAACGTTTCCATATCTATATTTTTTGCAGGCATTTTTCATACTTCTACTTTCTACGCGTTCATGAAAGCTTTCCCCACCTCTACACCTCTTCGCGTCGCTCCTCTGATCTACCCTCTCGTCTCCATCTCCCATTATCTGCCTAACCCCACGATACCTAAAGGCGCGCCATCTACCAATCCAATCCTTTCGGTACCTGCAGAAGACTTCCTTTGCTATAGTTGCCGGTCAAAGGGAGTCCTTTTATTGACTTTAAATTTACCTCTGTTACGTGACTTTCTGGCCATATCGACCTATTTTTCCTCGGATCTCTTTCTCCCGGTACAAAGCTGGGAGCATTCTTGCTTATCCAAAATCACTGAGGTTGCTCTTGAAGGTGGCTGTTTCCCGATACTCTCTAGACTGTGATCCCAAAAATGTGCCTTTTCAGAAAATTGCCGATTTCTTACAGCTGGTGTTGAAATGCAAATCAGAGCTCATCTCTAACACGAAGCCCAGTAATCGCAATCTCAACAGTAATGCCAAAAAAAAAGAATTCAAAATAATTTTATGTATGTACATCTGTGTAATGCAAATAAATATTTATTAATTATTAAAAAATTCACCAATTAGTGATAGATATCCCAAAATGGATATGAAACTTCTATCTCATTACTTGGGAAAAACCTTCTTCCCAGTTCCCTATCAACCTCTTTTCAAAGGCACTAATTTTACAATAATTGAATCAAGTTCCTTACCAATAGTTCTGTATCAAGCAATCGAATCTAATGCCTCTAACGATACTACAGAGTTACCTCTTATTACAGTTTGTGAACCTAATGGGATATTCGTCCCGTCTTTTGAAATTTCAATAGCATCATCTATAACCACATTTAAAAAAATGTCATATCCTCTTAGAATTCCTGCCACTTTCCTTGAACCATTTAGTTGTAAAAGAACTTTCTTTTCCATATATTTCTTGAGTTCTGGTGTAGAAACCATATTTATTAGCTTTACTACTTTGAAATGAATTTAAAAACCACCACTTTAAAGCAACAACAAAAAGAAGAAGGAATCAATACCAATGTCCAATCTTGACATATATAGTTCAAGAAAGACGAGAACTCTTCAATGGTATGATATAAAAGGCATTATACATAATCTTCTTGTATTACTAGAGGCTTTATCTCTTTAGTTAGTTATAATTAAATATATACTTGAATAAATTTGGATCACCACGTATATAATGATGTCACATGATTAATATATAAATGTAATATATAAAAGGAAGTGAAATGAAGGATAGTTCTATTTTAATCCTTTAACCATCACTATTTTTTTGGGGAAGATCAAGGAGAGAACGACAACTGTATATATGGAAAGGATAATTTAGGAACCAGGCATTTTGATATGGTTATCTTTTAATGTTGTAACACAGGTCATTATGAAGATTAGGGTTGTGAGGAAGACGATTCTGGTTTAAGCGCTGATAGCTAGGTTTAACTAGCTCTCCTTATGATAGGTTATCTGGGGTCTCAATTTTTTGTTATATTCAAAGCACTTAATAGATACCTATATTATAGATGTATTAGTTTCCCCTATTCTTTTTTTTTGCCTCTAAAATAAGAAATCAAGAGAAACATTTGTATATAGCCGCCTCTTTCATGATGGAGCTGGTTCACATCACATGACCAAATAAATAGATCATGTGACTTTTCGAATGTCGGATTTTATTTTGCTTTTTCCACCAAACCAGAATTTTTCAACTTTGACGAATCCCAGAGACCAGAGTCTTTTTGGGTTATGAATGCATCGTGGAATAGCTCCTCTTTTCTAGTTTTTAATTTCAGCCTATCATACAGCCTGACTCAAACTGTCCTCCCTTCCATGTTTGAATCGGGATATTGTACAGAGAGAGAGAGAGACGATAGCAATAATATTTGGTTTGTAATCGGAATAGTACAATTTTAAGTTGTTATGATGAATAATTAAAGATACAATCCAATTAGTTGTGTTCTTGAGATTTGTAAATTAACTGTTGTTACTGTTGATTAGGTTTTGTTTGCCATTACATTGTTTATATTCAATTCTAATTTCTAGATAAAAAAGACTTCATTGGTAAATTCATTCTTTTGGAATATTTTATATATTAGGGATTTCAAAAAGAGTATATTACTAAAATAACAATATATATATTACTAAAATGTTAAGATCAGTTACTTCAAAACGTTCTTTGTCGACCACATCTCGTTTACTAGCTATCAAGAAACAACACGATGTTGTAGTTATTGGTGGTGGTCCAGGTGGTTACATTGCTGCTATCAAAGCTGCCCAATTAGGTTTTGATACTGCTTGTATTGAAAAGAGAGGTAGATTAGGTGGTACTTGTTTAAATGTTGGTTGTATCCCTTCAAAGGCTTTGCTAAACAATTCTCATCTATACCATCAAATGAAAACTGATGCTAAACAACGTGGTATCGATGTTAATGGTTCAGTTGATATCAATGTTGAACAATTCCAAAAGGCTAAAGATACAGTAGTTAAACAATTAACTGGTGGTATTGAAATGTTATTCAAGAAGAATAAGGTTACTTATTACAAAGGTAACGGTTCTTTTGAAGATGTTAACAATGTCAAAGTCTCCCCACTTGAAGGTTTGGAAGGCACAGTTCCAGAAGAAGTTGTTATCGAAGCCAAAAACATCATCATTGCTACTGGTTCAGAAGTTACTCCTTTCCCAGGTATTACAATTGATGAAGAAAGAATTATATCCTCCACAGGTGCTCTATCCTTAAAAGAAATTCCAAAGAGAATGGCAATTATTGGTGGTGGTATCATCGGTTTAGAAATGGGTTCAGTTTACAGCCGTTTAGGTTCAAAAGTTACTGTTTTAGAGTTTCAACCACAAATTGGTGCCTCAATGGATGGTGAAGTAGCCAATAGCACTCAAAAATTCTTGAAGAAACAAGGCATTGACTTCAAATTAAGTACAAAAGTTGTTTCTGCCGAAAGAAAGGGCGATGTAGTTGACATCTCCGTTGAAGACACCAAATCTGGTAAGAAAGAAGATCTACAGGCTGATGTATTGTTGGTCGCAGTTGGTAGAAGACCTTACATCCAAGGTTTAGAAGCTGAAAAAATCGGTCTAGATGTTGATAAGAGAGGTAGATTGGTCATTGATGAACAATTCAACACTAAATTCCCAAATATTAAAGTCATCGGTGATGTTACATTTGGCCCAATGTTAGCCCACAAGGCAGAAGAAGAAGGTGTAGCTGCTGCTGAATATTTAAAAACTGGTCATGGTCACGTCAACTATAATAATATTCCATCTGTTATGTATTCTCACCCTGAAGTCGCCTGGGTAGGTAAGACCGAAGAGCAATTAAAGGAAGCTGGTATTTCCTACAAAGTTGGTAAGTTCCCATTCATTGCAAACTCAAGAGCTAAGACTAACTTAGATACCGAAGGTTTTGTCAAGATCTTAATTGACAGTGAAACTGAACGTCTATTAGGTGCTCACATTATTGGTCCAAATGCTGGTGAAATGATCGCTGAAGCCGGCTTGGCCTTAGAATATGGTGCCTCGGCTGAAGATATCGCAAGAGTTTGTCACGCTCACCCAACTTTGTCTGAAGCATTTAAAGAAGCTAACATGGCTGCTTACGATAAGCCATTAAACTTCTAGGGATTTTTTAATTCTTAATTTCTAAAGATTAGACTTTAGAAAAAGGTATGCAAATTTTGTCAGGAAAAAAAGTTGAATGAACTATTATTATGTTTTTCTTTCCTTTTACTTTTATTATTCTAACATGAATATATGTAACGATCACTTCATATAGTTAAATGTCGAGTAATTTTTATTTTAATTTTACTGAAAATAAATTTTGATCAACAATATAGGTTTTTTAGTAAAAATCATCATTATGAGTTATCTCATATACATAAATATATAATTACAAATTCTAATATTTTCATTTTAGATCAAGATAAAAATTAAAATCATATAAAGTCCATTACTTCGTCCTATTTTCATTTTTTTTTTACTTGAATCAAACAACATTATTCAATCATAAGTAGTGTTTAAAGGCCGCTTTGGGTTGCTATGACGTTGTCTTTTTTTAATTACATTGGTTTTTAATGAGGAGGGTCTCATTACTCCACGTAGCTTGTAGAATAAACCACATGCATTGCATAATGGTCTTCCAATTGGATCCCTTCTCCAGAGGGGTGTGTTCGTAGTTTCACAATTGGTACAAACCAATGGATCTCGATAAATAGTTTTTGAACCTAAATCTGTCATTTTGGATTGTTTCATTATAAATTTCGAAATTGACATTCTAGGTGAAGGAGAAGGTATTGCTTGTTGTGAACAACATTTTTTTTATTGGTAAACTGAGTTTGACCTGTATTTTCTTCTTGTATTGTGCATTGACCAGGAGATCTAGAAGCGTCATCGTCGTCGTCAGTTTTATCAGGGGAATGAGAGATCGTTAAATGACACTCATCACTATTAAGCTCAGAAGATTTTGGATTTTGATAGTATAAGCCATAGCTTTTATAATTTTCTTGGTTTTCGATTATATTACCAGCATCTGGGATTTCTTGAAGGTCTTCCATGACATTATCTTCCCACGAAGCTCGTTGAGTGGTTTCATAAATTGAAGGTGATGAATAAGTCTTGGCAGTTTTGTTCAAATAACAATTCAGATAATTTACTGTATTATCGGTTGTGTAGTGAGAAAAATCATTTCTTCTATTGTTGAATTCTTGGAAGCTAGATTCATCATTGTTAAGATAATTATTATAATAATTAGGTCCAATAAAGTTAACGGGAGTTGGTATTGTAGATGGTATAGATGATTCAACATTTGGTGACCTAATTATTCCAAATTTATTATAATTATCATCCATTAGGAATTGCATATTAAGGCTTGATGACGACGTATAATTATTGGATGTTTGATAAGTAAGGTAATCGAAGTTATCACTTATGGGGAACTCAGTGTTGTCGAAGTTATTGACACTTGAATCACTCTCAGGCAGTTCGTGGTTAGAAAGATTATTTTTGTAAGTATTAAAATTTAGATGGTGAGGTGAGTTATTCATTTTTTGTAGTTGGATTTGATTTGTCATTTTCAATAATGTATTATCACGCTGTGATAATTTTGGGGCAACAAACTTACACTCTTGCAATTGAGACGTTTGCCTTCCTTTAATATAAATACCCATTATTCTCCAATTTAAATTATTTATTCTTTCTCTATTTTGTAGTAATTTTTGGGCAGAAGAACAGAGTTCAAACATTTCTTCTTTAGAGGCACTATGAACTGATTTATCTAAATATTCATGCATATTTATATTAATAATATCTAGAATTGTTACCAAGTTAAGTATGAGATGAAATATCTGATTTTATTGAAGTTACCATAGTCATTTATTTTAATTAAAAGTTAAAAACCTTTTATTAATATACGTTATTTTATTATCTTATAAAAGAATATAAACATATCATTAGAAATGGATGGATATATAGACCTGAATATACATATATATCTACATCAATTTAAACAAATAAACAAACAAATGACACATATATATATAAATATATATATTTATATATATATATGTCATTTGTTAAAAGAGGAGAGAGGTAGAGAGTCCCTACAACAAACAATGTCTGCTGAAGGCACAATTTTACCAAACTAAAACAACAGGATTATGAGCTACAAAAAACAACACCACTAGAACCATATAAAATATTGCTTTCGTAAAAATGCCTATTCTTGTGGAGATAAAACTTTAAAAACTCTTCAAACTCAAGGATATAGTAATTAAACTAATTAATTAATCTTTAAAATTGACCAAGACATACCAAAATCCAACAGAGAACGCAACAGTTGCTAGCCAACGACAGATGAATTTAGTAAGTAAATACAAACTAAGTATAAAATCCAAAGGTTGCGTCCTGTTCCTTTTACAGAACCATATAATACTTCAGCAAAAACCTAATAAATCTTGTAAGACAAGAAAGGTAATTAATATTACATTATTTTATTTTATTCTTATTTGGCAGTCTGGTTCAAAGCAATGCTAATAACATGTGGCTGTGGCATTTCACATATAAACCGCATAACATCAAATTATAATTTACCAAAATTGCATAATTACAATTCGAAACTATGATGACAATGATAGCTCCAAAGATTTAAGAGTGTAAAGACAAATAAAAACAACCATAACCACCACCAATGAATTTAAACTACTTCGAAACTCTTAAACACATAATAGATATAGATAGATAGATAGATAGAGATAGATAAATAAACAGATAGATAGGTAGATAGAATTTATAGTTGATTTATCAAAGAACAAGCCCGATGCAATGATAGGTATAAATCAGCAAACCTCAAAACGAGATCTAACGACAAAGATGAACAAACTCAATGTATGACGAACATAAATGGCGTGTATACGTAAATGTGTCTTGTATATAGCATTGATACCATAACATTAAAGAATAATAACAACAGTAAAAACAATACAATTCACTTAAATAAGAAAATAAAAGTGTTCAGCCGTATAAAACTAAAAACTGCATTAATATGGATTAGTTCATGTAATAATCTAATACAAGCTAATCAAATTATATCGTCTGTTTAAAGATCTAAAACTATCAACATTTTAAACTGAATAGGAAATTTTATTGATTGTGACAGATAGACAATGGTGGATGAGGTGGTAGATGTCTGTCATCAGCTTTTCTTTTTGATGATAAAAATAGAATATGACGACAACGGCATGATTTTAAACTTTGCTGGTTTATGGAGGTTTAAAGTATTGAATAGTTTAGTAGTGGTATACTTGTATTTATCATGAGGTCGAGAGGGAGGGGCAGTAGAGTAGATGAGTGGGGGTGGGTGGGGGATGGATAATATTTATCTCGTGTGAAATTTCTCATAAAATATCTTGAACTTTTAGTACTTAGTTCGAACTGAGTATTCTTAAAGTGAAATACTTAACATGCAAGAGACACATTGGCAAAATAAAAGAAAAAAGAAGTTACCTGTAGGTATGTGTCGTTTAGTTGCTTCATATCATAAATTTAGATGAAACTATACCATAATTATATTTATTTATTTACGGTGTCTCAATTGTTTAGTTTTCTTATAATGCCCTTTTTTACCACTGGTCTTTTGAGTTTGAATTTCATTATATTTTCTTTTAAAGTATTTATTGGTATCGTCGTCTGCCATCAGAGTTTCCAACATTGTCGATTTACGTTGTTTTTTAGTCAATCTTGAACTATAGAACTCTGTGTTGCCCTCTATAATAGTGCCGACAGAAAATCTATCTGGAACTTTCCAACGATCTTTCTTATAGTGCCTTTTTGGATCTAAAGCAGCACGATGCTTCAAAAGTAATAAATCTCTTTGAACTTCTTGACGTTTTCTATCGCCCATCTTTGGAATGGTGAACCATTCTTTACTGCTCACTTGGGAAGGTTTCGAAACAGAATCGATCTTCATTGCCTCTAATCCTTTGGATTTGTTTTCACTATTATTACCATCACCATGAATCAGTCTATCAAATTCATTTTGCAATTTAGGTAAATTCTTCAAACTACGTTCTATTTCTGCAAATTTCTTGTCATTATCCTCGCTGTTCTCCAGTTGTAAAACATCACCATTCCCAGAAATCAAATCAACACCATGTGCTGTAGTCTTGCCAATACTGTCTCCTTTTGAAACATTTGTAGCGTTTCTTAAATCACCAAATAGTTTATCCAAGGATGCGTCCATTGTATATTCCCTAGTTCTACCAATTTAAAACCAATTATCTCTCTACAAGCTCAAAAGATAGAACACTAGCTTAATTCTGGATGTATAGAAATAACAACTATATCTCAAAACCAGTCTACCTTTATATACCTTTATTATACTTTTATTCAAATATATATACATAATATATATATTCACATACTGAGTGGTCTCAATCTCATCTCATCTCATCTCATCTCATCGCCAACTTTTTTTTTGTAAAAACCAAAATTTTTCAGTGAGAAAAAGAAACGATCATTGCTGTCATTGCTAACGTCGGTTCGAACTGAAGAGAAGAGAGTAACAGAGACACACTGATCTATTTAATTTACCTTTAACAAGAAGGTGACGGTAATGGCTATGTTGAAACAAGCTGGATCTTGTAATATATCAGATGTGGGTTCGAACTGTCCATATTTTTTTTTGGTTTAAATTGAGACTAAATTTTCTATTTTTGTTGGATAAAATTAATTGACGTTAATTTGGTATAAACCAGATGATTTATTGGATATATAATCCTAAATTGACAACTTAGGGACGGTGAGTGGATTGGAATATACAATGGATTACCATTGAGTTAATGACACTCTCATTGAAATTGATTTTCATTTCCTGTATAATACTGTCATTTGGTTATTGCCGTCTCTATATATATAATATGTGCTTTGACTGATATTTCTCGAGATGAGTTTTCCTTTTTCGGACGCTACTATTTCCTAAAACAGATACGAAAATTCCTAGTCAGGAAATAATTGTCTCTAAACTGGTCCTATTTCGTCAAGAAAAAAAAAGAATTAAAATTTTGATCAAGTGAAAAATTTTGGAAAGCAATAGATATGAACCATCAAAGTTATAGATTGGCTATTAACAGGAGGTGAGATTTTGATCATTAACTTGACCTATATATTGAATACAAGCTTTATCTGGGGGTTCTTTCGAGTACTGTAAGAAGAAACTGTTAAGAAACTCGAGTTTTCCATCAAGAGAAAAAATGTCTGAGTTCCAATTGAATATATTGAAACATTTGGGTGATTTAGGTGAGATCAAATCCACTTTACAAGTTTTCCCAGATGTTGATTCTCAAGATGTCCTATCTGCTTTAAACTCCTTGAAAGCTCACGGTAAATTATTATATACTAAGAATGATAAAATGCTCTACGAATTAACCAGTGAAGGTCAAGAAATTTTAAATAATGGTTCTCATGAAATGAAACTTGTCCAATTAATCACAGATCTAGGTAAGTTACAAATCAAGGATGTCAATGCAAAGTTGGGACCAAATGGTAAGGTTGGTCAAGCTCGTGCTTTCAAAAATGGTTGGATTGTTAAGACCAAAGAAAATGAATTGGAATTGAGTGAAAAATGTAAAGATCCTTCCCAATTACAAGATGAAACTAAATTGTTATTACAAAAAATCGTTAACAATGAAACTGTAGATGATAAAACCATCAATGACTTGAAGAAGAGAAAATTAGTTCTACCAAAAAAATTAACCGATTTCATTGTTACTAAAGGTGAAGATTTCTCTTTAGAATTAACCAAGTTCGAAACAGATGTTACATCTGATATGATCGTTACCGGTTCCTACAAAGATCTGAAATTCAAACCTTACAATTTCAATTCTCAAGGTTTACAAGCAACTTCTGGTGCATTGCACCCATTGAACAAGGTTAGAGAAGAATTTAGACAGATTTTCTTTTCTATGGGTTTCACTGAAATGCCTTCAAACCAATATGTAGAAACTGGTTTCTGGAACTTCGATGCATTGTACGTTCCACAACAGCATCCTGCTAGAGATTTACAGGATACTTTTTACATCAAAGATCCATTGACTTCTGATTTACCAGAAGATAAAGTTTATATGAACAATATTAAGGCTGTTCATGAAAACGGTAAATTCGAGTCAATTGGTTACAGATATAACTGGAAAGAAGAAGAATGTCAAAAACTAGTACTAAGAACCCACACAACTGCAATTTCTGCCGCTATGTTACATAAATTAGCTAAGAACCCAAAGCCAACAAGATTATTCTCTATTGATCGTGTTTTCCGTAATGAAGCAGTTGATGCCACTCATTTAGCTGAATTCCACCAAGTTGAAGGTGTTTTAGCCGATTACAACATTACCTTAGGTGACTTGATTAAATTCATGGAAGAATTCTTTGAAAAAATGGGTGTCACCGGTCTTCGTTTCAAACCAACTTACAACCCATATACTGAACCATCAATGGAAATCTACTCATGGCACGAAGGTCTAGGTAAGTGGGTTGAAATTGGTAACTCTGGTATCTTCAGACCTGAAATGTTAGAATCTATGGGTCTACCAAAGGATTTGAGAGTTTTAGGTTGGGGTTTGTCCTTAGAAAGACCAACCATGATTAAATATAAAGTTCAAAATATTAGAGAATTGTTGGGTCATAAGGTCTCTCTAGACTTCATTGAAAGTAACCCAGCAGCTAGATTAGATGAAGATTTATACGAATAGATAAAATAAGAAATAAGAATTTAACATCCTCATAATTTAAGTATATTAAAATTACTTCACTATTTTATCTACATTTATACAATACACAGACACAATTATATATCTATATATAGAGTTCAATGAAATGATATCATGCTATTTGTAGTATTCTCATTTTGGAATTGGTAAATTCTTCTATAAAATATTCATTAAAAGATGCTAAAAAAATTGTTCTTATTCATATTTCAATTACCTGATTTTATTTGCTTTTTATTGTTTTGATAATTATTCATTCTTTTTTGAAACATTGCCATTATTTCAACTCTGTCATTTTGTATAGAATAATAAGAATCAACCTCACCATACCTACTGGTAGTCCATCTTAATATATCTCCTGTATTACCCCTATTTAAAATTTCAATATGGTCCAATAAATCATCATATGGTCCTGTCTGATTTCTTTTAACAGTCCCTCTATAGATATTAAAGCGACGTTGTAATTTCCATAGTTTTAATTCTAGTTGAATGTATCTTTTTCTTCGTTGGTCTCTTACCTCTTGATTTGGTTGAATATTTAAATTCGAAATTTGTTCTCTTAATGAATAATACTCTTTAGAAATCAAATCATAATTATTTCTTACTTGAAATTCTAAACTAGAAGTTGTGTAGGGTCTAATGTCCTCAGTAACATGTTTTTTCTTCCTAGTTAACGATAATATTGGATTGAAGCAATTTTTTGTAGCAAACTTCTTCACAAAATTTGGTATATCAAACACACTAAAGTTTGCATCACTATCTGGATAATTTCTACTTGTCTTAGAACCATTTACATGCTTATCATTAAAACTGCACCAATCTTGATCATATTCAAAATATCCATCCAAGTCTTCAATTCCTGCTGAGTTTGAATATCGTTTTTTCGGGTAGCTTTTTTTGCTGCTACTGTCACTGTAAGTGTCAGAGGCTCCACTTGAACTTGATTCCAATTCTGAACTTGCATCAGTAGAATAGCCTTCTAAAATTCCTGAAATTTGTTTCTTTGACTGAATTTCTGCAGATTTATTGACAGATTGATCAATGACAGGTAAGTATGGTGAATTTAAGTACAGATCTTCCAAACCTGGAGAAAATATCAAATTAGTGTCATTTTGATTCAAATAATTTACTGGACTGGATTTGTTAAAATAATAATCTCTTTTTATATTTTCAAAGGAGATATCATCCAGGACATCTAAAGTTTTATTATTTGACCTAGAGATACTTGACGTTGAATGAATGCTAATTTTGGAATTGGATCTGTTCTTCTTTTTCTTTTTATTATTAGAAGTTGATCTATCTTTCTTCTTCTTCTTCTTTTTCTTCTTCTTCTTGTCAGAATCCTTTTTTGACCTATCCTTTGTTGTATCTATATCTGATCCCTTTCTTTCTAAGTTCTGTGTCGTTGGCGTCAGTGAGATTGTTTTTTCATTGGCAAAGAGTAAAGTCGATTTTCTTTCACTTAGGCCACCGTATATGGATAAACCATTAATAGATAGCAATCTTGAGTAGAAACCAAATAAAAAATTTAAATTTGAGGATTGGGTCTTATATTTTTTTGAAAGCAGTAACGGTTGGTATAATAAGATATGTGCTGGAAATTCAAATTTATGATAGAAACAATAAGTTTCAAATGGTAGGGATAGATATTCTGGATACTCAGTTGAAGTAGTATTTAAGAGATCATCCCTTTTCCTTTTACAGACGTCAATAATTTCATTGAAGTTAATTTTTTTTGTCGAGCTATTACAAAATGGTTCAATCATCGATTGGGTTTGAATGAAGGCAATGTTCATTAATTCGTGTACTAGATCTTTGAATATAATTTCAGTTGATTGTGTTTGTAGCAATAAATCGTAATCAAATTGTTCATAAATAATAGATAGAATGTTTAAAGATACTTTTGGGATTATAAATTTCCACAAATTCACTGACATTAATTTTGAATCTTCAAACACTTGAATCGAAATCCATTTTGTATTTTCTAAAAATTTTAACATATTCCATATATTTGAATTTGATCTATTTGCCAACTCTAATTTGACTTTTTCAATATTTGTTAAATAAAGATCTATTGAATTATCTAGAGTATCATCATTATTAGTATTGGTGCAACCAAAATTTGAATATGTTAAACCTATTGAAATTGAACAATTGTCATCATTGACTAAAGCATATGATCCCAAAGATAACTGTCTACATTCCAAATTGCAACAAATGGATAAAACACATTTACAATTTGATTTAAAGTATTTCAATGCAATAAATTCTAATTCGACACCGAAATCACAACTAATTAAAATAGTGGTGGACTCATTAATAAAAGGAGTTAAATTTTTGCAATTATCTTCTAATGATTGTAAAGAGATAGCAGAAATGATCATCAAGTTTATATTATATTTCAATTCATCGTTAATTAATAACTTTTCATTTAATTCACTGACGTTTTTAGTGAAGACATTTGGTGTGTAAAAATTAGCCCCCAATCTATTTGATTTCCAAGAGACTAACCCATCCAAGGAGACGTATTGTGACACTAGAATAATGAAAGCATTACCTAGAGACAAACGCCAGCCTAAGAATTGAGTAGATGGAGTATCACCAACAATCAAGCAGGTAAACTGTTTCTCCATATTATATGAACTGTTTTATTCATATTATTAAATTTTATTCCATATACACGAATGAGTATGAGGGGTGGGAGGAAGGGTTTTGTTGGAATGCACACATGTTATGAAACAATACCTGCGATTTAATGTTTAAAAGACAATTTTAAACCACCAATAAAGTTTAGCCTTATTTATACTTGTAAATTTCTAAAATATTAAAGTTAGAATTCAAGTTTTAAAAGGAATAAAGAGGCACAGATGCACCATAACAGAAATGGATATAAAGGAGAAAGAGAGGTGGGAAAGGATGAACACGGACGATACGATATATAGCATAGTATATAGGGAAGGAGACGGAGGGAGGGGGAGGAGGAGGAGGAGGAAATTGGTGGATTACACAAGTTCACAAACCATCCCTATCCACCACAAACTAGTCAAGTTGAACACTATATACCACAAGGTGTAATGAAGCTAGATCGTTAGTTGTTGTTAGAACAGATATAATATAATATAATTAATATACTAATACAATCGGAGGTGTCAGAGGAGTTTTTTATTCTTTTTTTTTTAATTACTGACACAAATAGAACGGAAATAACACGGATATAGGATCTGACACATACAGAAAAGGAAAAGGAAAAGACACAACTCCAGCCAAATGCCTTCATACGACAATATGTTACCCGCACATAACAAAACTGAAAAGCACACCAGTAGGATGGGGGTTTTTACCCTGACCACAAAACTGAAAACGAAAAAACATAAAATAACAACTGACAGAGAAACAAGTGGGAAAAAAACATGAGTCAGTGGTAGCGTTGCACGAAGACAAACCAAAAATCTTTCCCCCCCCTCCTCTACCACTTTTTCTGGAAGATAAGCAAAACAACACTGAAATGAAGAAAATTTTTTTTTTTCTCGTCGTCGTCGTCGTTGTCGCCGTCGTTTTCTCTTCGGCTCTCCCTCTTCCTCTCTAACAAAGTTTTTTTCTTTTGTTTTGTTTTTTTTTGTTTTTCATGGCTGCTGCTGCTTCTGCCTGTTTTCGTCTACCTTCCGACGGACGAAGATAGAAGCGACAACTTCTCCTGCTGGAATTGAACTGCAGAGAAGAAGAATAACAAGAAATAAACATTAAAAAAACATCTAACAAAAAGTGTTTATGTATGTATTGTATAATTTGATATTACGTTTAACCGTTGACGATATTAATAATGATGATACAACAACATATAATGTTAATTTAAAAGAACTATTACTATTATTTTATCTATCGAGTTTTGGTATCTTTGTTGTTTTGATACTCAAAGTATATAAACATAGGTGTTGTTAAATAAGTCTCGGTAGATCACAAGTTGCAGGTCAATATTAGGTTGATACCTCCAGAGCAAAAATACTAGAAAGGGGGGAGGAAGGAGACGCAAATCCATCTTTATTTTTTTGGTAATATCATTGGCTGGAAGTCACGTGGTGTTAAAGAGAGAGAAGAGAGGAAAGAAAATTTTTTTAGTTGCCACCATCTTTTTTTACGTCGAATTTCCAGATTGGGAAAAAACCGTGGTTGCCCGGACAATTGTCGTGTCATACGAGTTGGATAGGGTTATTGGTTTCGGACACACTTCTTTTCTTCTTTTTAAAAGCATAGCCGCCAAGAAGAAAATCAATATTGTTATAACACATATACACACGCATACGCATACTGATTGTTAAATATAAAAGACAATCGACAATTTATAAAAAAAAATCAATAATATACTTCAATGGGGACTCGTACTCAACATAAAGATGAGGAGACCCATGCAAGGTCAGATACCAGCAGTTCAAGGTTTAGACATCGTAAAATAAGTGTGAAACAACATTTAAGAATATATAAACCGAATGATTTAAAACATTTGGATGAACAAGAATTGCAACAGCGAGATGTCGCAGAAATAGAAACTGGTGTCGAAAAACATGAAGAAAAAGAAGTTCATTTATCAAGAATATTGAAAAAGAGTAACGTAGGCTTAGTTAATGATAAAAAAAAGGAGTATATCCCAACTCCTGGTGCCAACGTTAATTGGAATGAATTTGAAAACTTTTATACAGGTAAATTTATCGAACCAAAATCTTATATAAAGTTTTCTGCTACTGTAGAAGATTGCTGTGGTTTAAGTTATTGCATGGATGAAATTGATGATGAGTTTTTAATTAATTTCAATAAAAAAATAGATCAATCCAAGACTTTGCACGACGACGAATTTGAATTACTATGCACTTCTTTTGAAAGCGCTATTCATGAAAGACAACCATTTCTAAGCGTCGATCCAGAAAGTATTTTGACTTTTGATGAAATTAAACCAACTTTATTAAAATCCGATTTTGGTAACCAACAATTGAAAAATAAATTAGCAGGTGAAATTGGCTTTCCACAAGATTTAACTTACGTAACACAATTCGACCAAAATCAAGAAACTGATTCAATAAGACCATTATCAGTTCTTTTAGAAAATTTTGGTTCAAATATTTATGACCATTGGAAAAATCGTAAAATAAAAGCAAATGGTGCAGAAATTTTCCCACAATTAAAGTTTGAAAGACCTGATGAAAAGGAAAGTTCAGATCCTTACGTTTGTTTCCGCAGACGTGATGTAAGACAACCAAGAAAGACAAGACGTGTAGATATTGTAAATAGTCAAAAATTAAGGTTATTACACCGCGCTTTGAAAAACGCAAAAGAGTTAGCTTTGTTAGTTGCAAAGCGTGAATTCATCGAATCGAACTTATTGCAAAAAGAATTAAACATATTCAATAACAGATGCGAAGTAAAATCTTTGAAACGTACTTTGAATATTAAAAGTGAAGATGATGATTTGATCAGCCATAAGAGAAAGCGTATTAATATCATTGGCAAGCCTAAGAAATCTGAAATCAAGGATACAAGTGGTGCAACAACCAACGAACCTACTACAACTAGAAAGAATGGTAAGAATAAATTATCGAAAAATGCTGCTGCTAATCTTGAGTTGCTTGTCAAATCTGGCCAAAAACTCACAAAGCAACAATTGTTGCAATTACAAAATCAAGTTGTTGCGCAGACTGGATCTCAACCAACAAAACAACAGCTTCAACAGTTACAACAGTTGCAGCAAGCACAACAACAAGCACAACAACTGGCACAACAACAGGCACAGCAACAAGCACAGCAACAACAGGCCCAACAACAACAGCAGCAATCCCAACAACAACAAAATGTATCTCATGTTTATGTTAAATTGCCTACTTCTAAAATTCCTGATATCATGTTAGAAGATGTAGATAATTTGTTAACAAGCAAAGAAAAGAATGCAAGAAAATATGTTCAAGATAGAATGGACAAGAGAAAATTAGAAGATGGAAAGGTATTTTTTAATTTGACAGATGATCCATATAATCCTGTTTTCGATATTTTACTACCAAAAAATGTTTCACCAGAAACTGCACCTTTTGCGTCTATCGCATCCTCTAAATTTGAAGTTAACCGTTCTTATTATATCCCACATTTACATGATTACTTGAAGGGAACTTCAAATGAAATTACTGCATTAAATAAAAATGGTGATAGAATCTCTAATGATAATAAAGTAAGAAAATTGGAAATTTATGATCCTTTCCAATCAGATAACGAAATTGTAACGAAAGAATTCCCTATAAAATTCAGAAAACGTATCGGTCGTAATAATATCAAATATATCGACCGTAAGCCAAATAATATTGATTGGAGCGTAAAATCTGTATTTAACAAATTTATGGATCTTGATAAAGTAGAAGAACAAGAAAAAGATCCAAACAGTATTATTGATGTGTATGATTCAAAAATGGATGAACTATCCAGATTCTACGACAAATGGAAATATGATTCGCCAAGAAATGAATATGGTACACCTTTTATGAAGGAACCCCCAAGGCTGAATCAAATTTCAAATGATACACAGGTCATTAGATTCGGTACTATGCTGGGAAGCAAAGCATATGAACAACTTAGAGATATCACAATTAAGTATCGCCAAGAGTACATTGCCAAGATAAAACAACAAAAATTAGTCAATCAAAATCAGATAAAACAGTCAACGTCAAACGATAAATCTTCGAGCACTCCTCGTAGGGGCCCAACAAAAGTGGAATCTCAAAATAATTTGTTAGATAAGGTTGAAGGTTCTCCTGCACCACAGATACCGAAAAAACAACAAGTGATTCCTGTTGCACAACAAAAATCATCCTAAATCTAGAATTTTGGAATCTTTTTTTTCTTTCTTCTATTTTATGAACAGCTACTTTATTTCAATTAAGAAACAACTTCAATTGTATTATTATAATTTTAAAAAACCTTTTAAAAATCCATTTTAAATTCGCCGGTTATCATCTCTATACCAACATGATCATGATTTTAGGAGTTTGACCTTAACGATAACTTGTTAAAATGTTAAATAGACATTGCATCTAGTATATAATATTTTTTAAGGAAAGAAAAGAATATTATTGTATTATAAATTAATAATAAATAGACATTCTTGAAAATTAATTTAATTAATGAATTTAATTTCCATCATATCAAACCATATACTATACTATACTATATTATATTTTATTAAAAATCCTTGTATGAACACTGTTATATAAATATTTAAAATGTACGAACGTATTTGCTATTATTGTTTTCTAAATGTTATTCTTTTTGTCTCCAAGAAACCTTCATTATTTTCATCCAGTGAATTCAATTCTTCAAGAATCGATGCTGGTAACTCAGATGGTTGATAGTCATTTGGAACTGAATTATTAACAGCTCTGCCCGCCCAGAAGTCTCTAGCTTCTTCATCAATCTCTGTACTTGGGGTATATAAATGCTGTCCACTGATATTCTTTTGTGACTTTATATCTGTGTGCATAGAGCTTACACCTATAGTGTAAACTTCACTTTGATCTTTGGAAGAATAAGAGTGATTTGGTGATCCATTCTTTTCCATGTCATAATTGCCAATATATGTATTTTCTGATCTAGTGTCAGAAGAATTGTCTTTAGACTTGAAATTGAAGGGTATGAATTTGCTTGGGAATTTGCTTTTCATCGAGGAACTAATACTTTGACTGTAGAAGCTTGGTGTGTCACTAGGATTCTTGTTTGAATAATCGGTTGTAAACGAGCTTGGTTTAGGAGAATTATTTGCAGCGCTTGCCCACATCGAAGATAATGGTAAAGATAGAACGACTAATAAAGTTGCAATGACAACTAAATGATCAGTGTACAGCTTAGTACTTAAAGCGTATGATAAGATAAAAAGAATTGATGGTACAATCAATGTTTGACATGACATAATCAATAAAATATGGAAACTATCGAACTGCTTTAAACCCAAATATCTTCTTGATCTAACAGCCAAAAATAATTTAACAATTAATACTACCGTCATAAAATTTATCGATGTAGACAGAAGAATGTTTGCAACGTTAAATAATTTAGCAGTGGAGTTGTAAGTTTGATTATAAACAGCAATCATATTTGTAATGGCAGAGTAAAAATACATGACGACAGTAGCTATACCCAAACCAGACGCAATTGACAACAAACCGTAACCAGCTTTTCTAAAACTGTCACCTTTAAACATGACTCGAATTTGAAACACTAACGACAGTTCAATGGTTGCTACTAATAAAACTTGAATAATATTAGCGGCACCAAAGACATGTATATTATTTTTAGTGATATTTTGAGTAAACCCAGTTAAGATATATGATAAAGAATTCAAATTTGATAGAATATTCTTAAAATATAAACCTGAATGCATAATAATAAGGATTAGCGAGCATTGATTAATAATAAAAATTGGAGTCTTCTTATTCTTAGAAATCATCCACATTATTAACAATGTCAAACAAGCAGCACCACATCTGACGCCGAACATAATACCACTTGTAATTAAACTATTGACCTCTAACTGTAACTCATCAAAAGTTATAGTAGTATTCCCGTACATTGAAATAAATGTGAGTATACCTTGACCTGGATCATAGTTAGCATCATAAAATAAACCTAAAATATCTGGTTTATCACCCATATCATCAATTCCTGACATTTTTAATTTAGTTTTATCTGATGATTTGATTTATTTCTGGCATTCAAATTATCATAAAATTATGTTTAAATAATATAGAAACCATTTCCAAAATACTTTATTATTTATAATAAGTTGGCAATTTAAATATAATTCTGACATTATTACAACATTACAATCATCATATAAATTAAATGCACTTACACTTCCATTTATGTTAACCATAGTGATGTGTTTCATGTAATTACCCGATTAGGTAATTACATGAATCACACCAATACAATGGACATCGTTAAGTTTTAAGATGAAGCCAAGACTATGAAATGGGGTTATATAGAAAGTTGTAACTCAATTAATCAACAGTAGTTCCCCAAATTAAACATGAAACATAATAGTATTTAGATCATATATCATAATTTCTAAACATTATCACTATGGTGACTATATGGATTTAATCACTTGAAATAGAGAAGATGGTATATCATTATTGCTTAGAAGTAATTGGAAAAAACGTAAAATAACCCCAAATCCGATGTTTAAATAGTGATGAATTCATATAGATATCTAGATACTTACATTTTATAGGTTTCAAACGGTCCATCAAATTGTTGATATTGTCCTATTTGAAAAGTTCAAGATGGAGGTCATTACCAATTATTCGAAAAAACAGAAGATATACTCTTTGGTAACTCTTGATGCACAATTAAAATATGTGTTCGATAAAATTGGTTTGCACAGTGTTATACTTGTATTAATTTACTTCAATTTTTCTTTTGAATACATATGCAAAATGATCAGAATATCACTCCAACGTTTCACACTAGAAATCTATTATCTCAGAATACAACACAAACTGCAAAACTATAGATCTTAATTAAAATAGTTAATCTGCACCCTCAGTTTAATTGAATCTATTTAGCATTTGAATAGCTACAGTAAAATGTCATCTTTTATTTTTACTGTCACTACAAGCAACATCTCGTTTTATCTAATCGGGATATGGAATGAGTTCAATCTAAAACTTGATCTATAATTAAATACTAAACGATGACTTAATAAAAGGAAGAGTAAGTAGAAGGAAGCTAACCAGATTAGATACATCTCGACTGTATAGTGGATGATATTGTGTTAGCAGTTTATTGATTTCTATGCCGATTTCTAGTTTTAGTTCTGAAGAGTTATCATATGAGAAAGTGAGTTTAGAGGAAACATCTGGTGAAGTTTTGTTGAAAGAAAGAGTTATTGATTATGCGTTGAATAAGAGCAATATACCTTTGATATCACAGTTAGGCAGAAGCCAACATGGATTTGTGAATAATTTGACAAGAAGGAAGGCATGGAGTTCACTTTTGGAGTCTCAGTTGCAATTAAGTTCTTCTAAGACTTGCGAAGTTGCTGATTCTAAAACAATTAATAACAATGATTATAATGATGACAGTGATGATGATAATGATAATGTAGTACACGAAGATGAGAATCAAGTACAATTAGATGTGAAGAGGTCGTTTGTATCTGTTAGAGATGTCCATGTAAGGGACCTGTTGAGACAAGTACTTGAACGTGTGATTATTTCGGTGTTGAGAAAGTATCCTCAATTGAGGTATTACCAAGGATTCCATGATGTGGTATCTGTATTTGTATTGGTATATCTGGGAGATGAGATACTAGCTTCTGGGACTGATGAGAACTTAATACTCAAGTATGATGAAGAGATATCATTGAAAAAATCTGTAGAGATTTTTACATTATTATATTTAAGGGATTTTATGATGGATTCTTTGGAATTTCCCATAGATCAATTAAACATAATATTGAAGATAATAAAGAAGAAGGACATAAAATTCTATAATAAGCTATCACTAGGTCAGATAGAACCATTTTTTGCAATCTCATCAATTTTAACAATTTTTTCACATGAACTCAGCCCAATTATGGATAATACCTATAATGAAACATTGTTTGGAATATTTGATTTAATTATATCAACTCAATCGATGAACGTTCCTCTTCTTATTTACTCTAACATATTATTAGGAGTTAAAGATCAACTATTGGAAAATTTCGAGATGGATATTATCCATTTCGATAACAAAGTTGATTTAGTGCATGCAATAATCCAAAAAGTAATTCTCCAATCGATTGATAACGATCGCATGTGGAAAGAAACTATGATAAATACACGTAAGATGAATTACGATAAATCTTTAATAAGTCTCAACAAGAGCATGCTTAATAAGTATAGTGTTTTGATAACGACAGCGTCAGGAGATGCTTACTATAATCACTGTTATACAGAGAAAGAAGTAATGGAGATACTTCGGAAGGAGATACAACTAAATGAGAAACGAAATATCGAGAAGGCTCAATTGAAAATGAAAAAATCAACAAATTCACCAGAACTAGGATTAATTAATAAAACATCAATGACCTTAGCCGTTTCATTGCTTATTGGAGCATTTGCTGTGATTATTTCATTGCAAAGGGATAATTCATATTCTACATTATTTAAAAACACTGGAGATTCTCTTAATAATATTTATGAATACTATACTGTCAAATTGGTCAATAGATCTACGTATGTTTGGAAACAACCATTAGAAAGCATCTTAACCTATTTGAAAAGTAACACCACTTCATAACGTTATCAAAATCCAAAATTAGCATAATATTTTCTTTGAAAGGGATGAGAGTCATAACATGAATAATTTATGCTTAACTGTAAACTCCGCTTTTCAAAGTTACATTCTTTTATAAACGACATTTACTATTTATTATATAATACAATTAATTTATTCTAAATCTATTTCATAAATCAATGCAATATCAGTAGACACACCTTGCCAGCCACGATTACCACTGGTGCT